GACTGTGTCCTTAGCCTTACAGAAGCTTCTCAGTTTCAGGAGGTCCCATGCATCAATTGTTGATCTCAGTGTCTGTGATACTGGTGTAACGTTCAGGAAGTGGTCTCCTGTACCAATTCATTTAAGGGTTTGATTTCCCACTTTATCTTCTAATAGGTTCAGTGTGGCTGGGTTTATGTTGAGGTCTTTGATCCATTTTGACTTAAGTTTTGTGCATGATGATAGACATGGCTCTATCTGCAGTCTTCTACATGCCAGCATCCAGTTATGCCAGCACCATTTGTTTAAGATGCTTTCTTTATTCCATTGTATAAATTTAGCTTCTTTGTCAAAAATCAAGTGTTCCTAGGTGTGTGGGTTTATATCAGGGTTTTGAACTCTATTCCATTGGTCTATGTGTCTATTTTTGTGCCAATATCAAGCTGTTTTCAGGACTATAGCTCTGTAATAAAGCTTGAAGTCAAGGAGGGTGATGCCTCCAGAAGTTTCTTTATTGTACAGGGTTGTTTTGGCTATCCTGGGTATTTTATTTTTCCATATAAAGTTGAGAATTGTTTTTTCAAGTTCTGTGAAGAATTGTGTTGTTATTTTGATGGGGATTGCATTGAGTCTGTAGATTGCTTTTGGCAAGATTACCATTTTTACTATGTTGAACCTACCTATCCAAGAACATGGGAGATCTACTTTGATTTCTTTCTTTAGAGAAACTCGGGGCCATTCTCTTCCCAGAGAATGACCCCAATGGGTTGGAATAAAATCTTTTTGCTTTTGCATCGAATTTGTGTCCTGTGATGACTCTGTGGGGTGCACAGGAGTGCACAAATATCTTGTCACAATTATGTAACTTTTTCTGCAATGAACAGCCGGGTTGGAAACTCTGACACCTGCTGTGTTAGCTACACCAAAGGTTGAGGCAGGAGGATGGCATGCATCCATTAATGTTATGCAGGGCTTCTGGAGATATAGCAGAATTGAGAGTGCATGCTTGCCTAGAATCACAGACCCTGAGCACTCTCTTTATCACTGCATTAATGTGGGAAATTACCAATACGGAGCCAAGTAGGAATATAAGGGTATTTAATAGGAAAAGCCTTACTTATAGAGTGACCTAGCCAGCTGGCGAGGCAGCAGTCTGTACAGCAAGCCTAAAGGAAAAATGAAAGTGAAACCCAGCCACCTGACTCTCTCCTCTATGTCCCCCTGACCTGTAGCCAGCACCTAAGCAGGTGTGGCTACAGGTTCCCCTACAATGCATGAACTAGACATGGTGGAACATGCATGCTGTCTGAGAATTCAAGAGTTTGGAGCCAGAGGATCAGGAGTTCAAGGTCATCTTTGGCTATATAGCAAGTTGGAGGCCAGATGGGCTACACAACTCTTGTTCTCAAAGCATTTTAAAAACTGTGTCTAGGAGGGAGACAGGACTAGTTCTCTGTCAGAAGATGGTTTCAGAGAAGACCAACCACACACTGACCAGAGAAATGAAACTGACTGAGAGCTGAGCCAACAGGATTTCTTGTGAGTGTAAGGCTAGCCTGGTCTACATAAAGATTCCCAGGCCATGCATGAGCTACATTTAAAAAGGCCTATTTTTAAAAAAAGTTTCTGAGCTAGGGTGGTGGCTTACAACAGGAGGTAGAAACAGCATTGTCATTTTGAGTCTAGCCTGGCAAATAAACAGAAACATCACAAAGAAAAACAAACAAGTAATTTTAAAGCATGGCTATATACCCCTTTAATTTCAATGCTCCAGAGGTAAAAGCCAGCCAATTTATGTGTTCAGGGCCAGCATTTCCTACATGGTGAGTTCCAAGCCATCCCATGACACATAATGAGACAATTATTATTTGGGGACTGAAGAAATGCCTAGTGAGTTAAGAACATAGAATGCAGTTGCAGAGGACTTGAGTCCCATGTCTGATGGCTTATAAACACCTGTATATCACTCCAGATCCCAGGATATTCTAAGGGATCTAACTCCTCTGGCCTTTGTGGGCACCTTCATGCCTACAACAGTACCCTGATAAGGACATGGAGCTGTCCTTCATGTCTCTTTACTTCCTTAACCACCTCATGAATATAATGATCACATTATATTCACTGAAAAAGCTGTTCTTGAGGTTGCATTCAGTGACAACCTTCAATGGCTGCTTCTTTCCCCCTGTTGTGGGATCTTTTCTCCCCTGGTTTGGCCTGTGGAGTGTCGATATCCTCCTGTGTTCCAGACTGTACTTCCTAGAAGTCATAGTGAGCATCCTGCAAATTGAGATGGTGTAGTCTACACCTCCTGTGGGTCAAACAGGAAGGGGGTTCAGGTGACAGTTATAATCTGTGATCCCACATCGCAACTTCCCTGCATTACATTCTCTTTGAATTTCACCCACAGCCTTTGCCTTCCACACTAACTCAGACTCACGCACCTAGGCCGAACATTCTTGCTATTCAGCAAATCCATTCCATCCAGCACAGCCTGGAAGTAATTACTTCAAAGTAATCTGCCAGGTACCTAAGAGGGAGGCAGGGAAGGGCCAAGATACTAACATGGTCTTCACTACCTTTGTTTGTCAATTAATGAAGGCCTGCTCAAACAGTGGTGGGAAGAAAAACGTGTGAAGCCTCTCCAGAGCAGAGATGGTCAAGTCTTCATCTCTCAGCAGCCCTTGAATGGCCAGCTGCTGGAGAATGGGCACAGCCTGGAAGCTCATCCTGGGGATTCAGTTAAGGAGATCCTGTGGAAGCATCCAAAAACATATCTTTTCAGACCAAAGCTTAGGAAGGCCTTTGTTCCTGCAATTATAAGCATCACCTCAGGGTCAGAGTCACTGCTCAGATGATAGAAACTGGGTTTTCCCATTTGACTTTCTGTCTAATGCTCTCACAGATACAGCTCCATCAGGCAGCACTTGAAGTGTGCCTTTCCATTATTTTTCCCAACTCAATTGACCCCTGATGCCCTGAATCCTACTCTTCTGGGGAGTGGGTAACCTGGAGAGAATAGAGCTTCATCCTTTAA